AATACTAATGCTTGCTCTATGTTTATTTTCATAAATTTAACTTTATGTCAAGTCTCATTTTCCCATTATCTGAAATTTGGATCAGGGTGTTTGTTTCTCTATGCCTCTTTGTCGTTCTAAAGTCGAGCAAGTCGACGCTGAAGATCTGGTTGAACTTTCAGAGATAGAGAAGTTCAATTTGGGACAGGTTTATATCTGTTATGTTTTCCTCTCTTGGCCCTTGCTTGTCTTATTCATATCAAACCATATAAGCTCATGATTAAGTTAGATATGGGATGAGCAAGCTCACACTGCTTGTAATCTCCCTCCTTTGTGAATCAAATTTTTATAGCCTTGGCTTACTTGGTTGAGTTTGCTACTGAAAATATGAACCTTTTTCAGACACGACGAGTTCGTTCATTTTCTGATGTAGATAGGAGCTCTCAATCTTTGCTGTTTTTCTGCGAAAACAAAGATGTGCATGGGTTATATGATATCCTGTTAAATTACAGGTAAATGAATGTGTTTGTGGCAACTTGCCTTCCTGTTAACTTTTGGTTATTTTAACAGGACTAAACACTTTACGTCTGATCTCTAGGATCAAGCCATAGTCATATTATAGGATTTTTATTTAGTGTGAATTGGCTGATATATCTGGTTACGGTCCAGATCTTTCTTGACCTCATTGGCTGGCATGGATGTTCCCGTGTTGCTATCACCTGTTCCCTTTCAGAATGCTGCTCTTTCTTCACCGCAGGTGCATGGAGTTAATTTGTGATCAGTGTTATCAGCTATGGAGTTAATTTTTATTTACTGTGAATTGGGTTTGCTGTGGCTGCCTGTACTTGCTTTGTGTTTGGTGTGGTAAAAAGATGAATGCTTTGTTTTGTAAGGTCAAATTCAAGGAGCTGAGAAGTGCAAACGGTATTGCTGCAGTATCCAAAGGATCCACATCAAAGGATGGCGATTCTTCATCTGTTGGTGTGTCGTATAGCCTTGAAATTACCGATGAATATATTCCACCATGGGTAATTTCCAGTGTATGTGCAGTCATGGGTTCTAAAGGAAGAAGCTTCGAGGCTAGGTATGATTCTGGTTAGATTGTACGGAGGGATGTTTAGTTGTTGGTTCTTCCTGATGTTGGGTTAATTTTGGTGATTTTCAGCTTCACGACAGACCCTATCTCTATTGGTTTGAATGTTGCTCTTGGTGAAGCTCTCCAATCTAACAACCATACGTTTGGAATTCCAGAAGCCATTGCTTCGCCGTCCTTGTGTGCAGGTTTATTAAAAGGTTTGAAGTACTCGGACGACTCCTTCACAGCCTCTCTTTCTCCTGCATGATTATGACAGTAGATTAGATTTAGATGATAGTCCCGTTTTTCTCATTTAACTATGTTATTATGTTGTATATTCCTCTGTATAATCAGAATTTGAGTAGCATTGATTGACCCATATGTGTTTTGTGGATGTTGATTCACCAACATAACTCAAATTTAGTTCATTCTAAATATTACCCTTTGAAACTGCTTTAGTGTTCTTCCCACTCATTTCTTGGATGGGTTCTTCTTAAAATCTTAATATTCATCGGTGTTTGAGTATTGCATTTGTTGGAATGAAGAAATATCTTAGGGTAAAAATCAATTTTTACCTCTAAATTTGAACCTAAACTTGAACAAAATAAATAAAAGGTAAAAGGCATGGTACTTATTCGTGTTAATTCACCCACTAATATCTTCAGACACCAACATTAAAAATGTGAAATTCTATATCATACACATAATTATAGTTGATTAATGGATAAATTCAACTATCATACAAATTTGTAGAACTTTTAAATTTAAACAAAATTAATGGCTCCTTGTAAGTTAAAAAAAAAAGATCAAAATAGGCCTTTACTTGGAATTATTATTATTATTTTTTTAAAAAAATAGACCATAAAGTTAGGCCTAAAAAGGGTAAAAATGTGGAAATGAGAACTCTATCATAACTCTACACGGTAAATCACTTTGTTAATTAAATGGGATGATGGTGCATCCATTTGTCAGGGGTATTATCGACCGATTTTTTTTTTTTTTTTTTTTTTTTTTTTTTTTTTTTTTTT